CAGGCAAAATCTTAACTACAACATACGGATTGTTCTTCAGGCCCAAATCCTCCAGGATGCTTGTGTAGCAACATAGTGCACTGTCCCTTGTACTGGATACCTCCCATGGATGAATTTAAAATATGGGTTTCTTCAAATGCATCATGATCTGCGTTACTACTTCATCACACTAGAGAATGAATCCACTTTACATCTGGTTTCTCCCTCCTGCAGATTTCTGGGGTTTGTAGTTTAGTATTTCATTTATTTATTTATTTATTTACAGCTTTTATATTCCGCCCTTCTCACCCCGCAGGGGACTCAGGGCGGATTACAGTGTACACATATATGGCAAACATTCAATGCCAATTTTTGACATACAAACATATACAGACATACACAGAGGCTATTTAACTTTTTCTGGCCACCAGGGGAGCTGCCGCTTTCATCGTCCATCTGCGACGCTGATGAAGCACTTCCGCATTCCCCGCATGCTTCCCCGTGGGTTTCCAACCAATTGTGTGTAGCCTGTTGTCGATCTTTGCAACCCGAAAGACAGTTGCATCTGTCAAGTAGGAAAATTAGGTACCACCTTAAAGTGTGGGGAGGCTAAATTAACTGATTTATGAGGCCATAAAGAAGACTCCAGCAAAGCATTCCAGCGGGGAAGCATGCGGGGAATGCGGAAGTGCTTCATCAGCATCACAGATGGACGATGAAAGCGACAGCTCCCCTGGCGGCCAGAAAAATATAAAAGCTTTAAATAAATAAATAAATCTTTAAAATCCTCTTAATTGATGTATATATTTGACCCTGTTATTTTTTTAGCTTTTTCATGTCCTTTATTTATTTACTTACTTACAGTATTTATATTCAGCCCTTCTCACCCTGAAGGAGACTCAGGGAGAATCACAGAACATACATCTACAGAAAACATTCAATGCCATTTTATATGGACAAGACAGACAACTGTACACGGAAGGAGGTATACACAGGCTTTCCCCCGTCCTTGGTATCTCAGAAGCTTGTGCTCAGTTCCAGTTACGAGGGGGTGCTGTCACTACATCTCCCTGCCAAAGATTCGTAAACTTCCTCCTTTTTTGGTCAGATTGCCTGGCATTTTCTGGCATTTTGCCTTTTAGGGGTGCCTTAAAATACCTCTCCCACTTTTAAGCAGTACCTATTCATTTACTTTTTTTTGCTTTGGAACCACTGGCCTAAAGACCAGGCGCTCACCCTGACCCAGGCTTCGAACTGTCAACTTAGATAGACAAGATTTACTGCAGCTGGTGGTTTTTAACCTGCAGTGCTAAAGCCCAATGATAAAATGTCCCCCCCACCCCCCACCCCGTGTTGCTCACATCTACAACACACATTGGAAACTCTTTTACAGATTCTAGATATGTTATTTGGTGACATGTATCACCTGTACATCATTTTGTAAAAAATCACTGTAAAATCACAACATAATGTAAATTTCAATCCCTTCAACCACATGTTCCCAGCTGTTTTCCTTCCTCTCAAGGGATCTCCTTCTTTGCAAAGCAAAGCAGCTGTGAATCCTTGGTATTCTATAATATATCTCGTATTCTAGCTTACTGCCAAGGAGCTACTCATCTGGCAAAATGTTATATGGTATTCTTTATTTGGAACAGTTTTGTTTTAAGCAATCAGTAACAGGAGGTCTATGCTTTTGTTCAAAACCTCGTAAGGTCAAACAACGTAGCAAGAAACTATTGAGTCAGCAGTGCACTTAAACATTTTTGTTATGGCGCAGATCAAGAGTTTTCAACTAATTCACACACCTTCAGTGGCCCACTGGGAATGATATGGATTAGTATTGTCCCCATGGATGATTCAGTGACAATACTGCCCTCTTCAGATGAATGCCTTGAAATGAGTTCTAACAACCACAGCCTAAATTTGCAGCCCTGCTGACTTCTCATTTGCCAACAACCTTCATACTATGTCAAGCAAGCAAACTAGAATTGTGTACATATATTCAGAAAAACATAGATCTTGAAAGCTATAGAATTCAAAGCCTCAAACCCATTCAAGGACTTTTTTATTTGCAGATTAAGCCACATATTCCAGAAAATGACTGCTGCCTAGCAGTCCAAAGTGATTATATTTTCTCCTATTTGGAAAAGAGCACTTTGCTGAATCTTCAAGGTGATTTGTTGCTCTTTTTTTTCCGTGGCAGGAGAAACTTGGGAAACTACAAGTCACTTCTGGTGTGAGAGAATTGTCTGTCTGCAAGGATGTTGCCCAGGGGATGCCTGGATGTTTGATGTTTTACCATCCTTGTGGGAGGCTTCTCTCATGTCCCCACATGGGGAGCTGGAGCTGACAGAGGGAGCTCAACCTGCTCTCCCCGGATTTGAACTGCCGACCTGTTGGTCAGCAGTCCTGCTGGCACAAGGATTTAACCCAGGGGTCCTCAAACTTTTTAAACAGAGGACCAGGCCACAGTCCCTCAAACTGATGGAGGGCCAGATTATAATTTGAAAAAAACATGAATGAATTCCTATGCACACTGCACATATCTTATTTGTAAAAAAACCAACAACACACACACTTTAAAACAAAACAATAATTAAATTGTGGCGCAGCTGGCTGAGTGTCAGCTGCATTAAGATCACTCTGACCAAAAAGGTCATGAGTTCGAAGCCAGCCTGGGTTGGAGTGGGTTTCCAACAAATTGTGTGTAGCCTGTTGTCGACCTTTGCAACCCGAAAGACAGTTGCATCTGTCAAGTAGGAAAATAAGGTACCACCTTAAAGTGTGGGGAGGCTAAATTAACTGATTTATGAGGCCATTTATTTATTTATTTACGACATTTATATGCTGCCCTTCTCATCCTGAAGGGGACTCAGAGCGGCTTACAAGGTATATA